TTTAATAAATTAATTTCTACTAAAAATTTTGATATTTAATATATTTAATATATTAAAACATCTTAATTTTTACTTATTATTATCATTATAATATAATAAAAGTTTAAACCAAATAATATTAATACTTTAATCAATACTAATCGTATTTTGAACAAGTTATTACGGGGGCTTAAATCCAATCTCAGAAAGAAAAACTACACTTTAACAAAATGACAAAAACCACTCAACCCAACAACTAGGTGCAATCTTACTGCTTATCTTATTGACTAAACTTATGAAAAAAATATAATATTTGCATTTATACTTGGATGCAACTTGTTTCAATTAAGAAATTAAATAATATTTTTTTAATGTCCACCTTTCTAACTTAAACCTTAAATTAATTAATTAATTAATCAAATTATAGATAATGATGCTGGTTAGGACAAGACTCCCCTATCCCAAAGTCCGCGTCATCTCATTATCAAGAGCTGTACAAACAAAATTCAACGCCTTGTGCCCAAAAAAAATAAAAAATAATAAAAAATAAAAACAAAAGCATTATTCCCTTTCTCCCAACTATTTAAAAGCCTAACTAACACACACTTGATTTTCTCACCATAGCTTACTAATCTCTCTTTGTAATTAAATCTCAATTTAGTCCCTCTTTTAAGCTAGAAGACATGAAGCTTGTTTGGTGTCCGGATATGGCTTCAAAAGCTTATATAGACACCGTTAAATCAGTAAGCTTTGGTTAATTCCTTAATTCTCTCTAAATTTTTTGACTTTGTTTTCATATATCTGCAATTTGTCGGTACTTCTTACAGGTAGTTGCTTGAACTAATTAGTGTTTAATTAAACCTTAATTAATTTTGGGATTAATTAAGGTTTTGAACTTCGATTGGTAGTATCTATGAAATTAATCCACCAAGCTCTTGTTTTTGTTTTTTTTTTTTTTTAATTTTTGCAATTGATCTAATAATTTGTAGCGAATTACAGTGTCAAAATTTCAAGGAACCGGGCGTACCGGAGCTGCTGTCGGCGATGGCTGCCGGCTGGAATTCGAAGCTGATCGTAGAGTCTTGGTCACACGGTGGACCGATAGCAACAAGTGTTGGCCTCGCGGTGGCTGCCAGTCACACTAGTGGCAGACATGTTTGCATTGTCCCCGATGAACGGTCGAGATCGGGATACATCCAGGCCATGAGAGAGCTGGCAGGAATCTCGCCGACGAATGTGGTGGTTGGAGACGGAGGAGAGTTGGTGGCGGAGATTTCAGGCGTCGATTTCCTGGTGGTGGATTCAAAGTGCGATGATTTCGCCAGTGTTTTGAGGCGCGCAAGGTTGAGTGACGGCGGAGCGGTTTTGGCATGCAAAAATGCACGCGACAGGAGATGTTCTGGGTTTCGGTGGAATTGGGTGCTTGATAGAGGGACGCGTGTCGCGAGATCGGTGTTCTTGCCCGTGGGGAAAGGATTAGATATTGCTCATGTGGGTGCTAATGGTGAGGATGCGTTCTCCGATAAGGCCCCTGGCCGTTGGATTAGGCACATCGACCAAAGATCGGGAGAGGAGCATATCTTTCGCGGTTAAAGCATTTTTTTTTTTTTATCACATCGGAGCCGCCCTGCAAGTAAAATTTATGTTAAAATAATTTTTGTTATTACGTTTTTTTTTTTTTCTCGTACCTATGTACAAAGTGTCTGTTTTTTAGCTAGTTATGTAAATCAACGTGTTGTTTTAGTAGGAATCAAGACTTTGGATCTAATGATTTTTTAAAAAATTAATTTATTGTATTTTATTTTTTAGTATAAAAAAAATTATCAATATCTCCATATATAAATTTCTCCCTAGGGGGATCAAAATTGAGTGCAGGGATTTTTTTGTCTTGTTGTTTTTGTCAAGTGAAGGGATATTTAGTTCTTTACTTGTCGATTCAGGTATGAACTTTTATCACATAATAATAAAATATCAAAATAACCGTATGATATTAAACTGCATAAGGCTAGCGGGGATTAACCTGCACTTCCATTAGGCCAAATAGGCCAAGTGCGCAAAATGGTTTAATCTTATATCATATAATTTTGTGTATATAACAATTATTTGTTAATTTAGGTAAAAAAATCAATTTTTTTAAATGAAATTTTAAATTAAAATTTTTTAAATAAAAAAATAAATACTGAAAAAATTTCTCTTTTTATAAGATGTAACGCAATAAAAATATTGAATATCGAGAAATTAATAAAAATAAAATAAAATTGTGTATATTTTTTCCGTTACGTTACAGCTAAAGCTCGGGAGTGAATTGAGTAATTTTTCGATTAAAAAAATAATAATAATAAGGTTGTAATCCTGGTTTTGAAATGAGTAATGAGGTCCAGAAACTACAAGCCCAAATATGTACGATTGGG